GATATTTTTTGCTCAGCAAATGATAGTGAACAAAATAAAAATGTTTCTATCTACGATAAAGACTTAGTGGTTGTATATGAGTAGATTGCAACTTTTTGGTACGGTTACCGCGAAAAACTAAAAGTAGACCTAAACAATGTCCGATTAATATTTTTTTATTATATTCTATGCCTTTTTTTGCGGACTAAAAGTTTCGCAACACTCCACCGCATATTAGCAGAGACACGTCTTACTCCAGTGTAAGTATAAAGTAAAGAACATTATTTCAGTGGCAAAATCAGTTGTAGTTCACCGAAATTTTAGATGTGAAACTGCTTTCTAAATCACGATCAATGTTTGCATACAGGTCGAATAACTTTTCAAAATGAAACGAGGGCAATGATGTATGATGCAATCTATGTCGACTCACTATTGCTTGAAGTATCATATGAAAAATGTCATTCTAAAAATCACAGTAGTCTGCGTAACCTCTATGTCGTACAATTATGTTGTAATTCAGAATCAATGCTTGGCATAAGAATAGGAAAACATTCTACCGCAAAATACATCGAATTTTGTGAAATGTCACTCATATTGACCCACTTTTAATTGAAAATTTGCATGTAAAAGGTCGTTCTAGACTTTTAAGAGAAAGGATCAATCTACATTTTATCATTTAGTGTGAGTTTCTCGAGAAGAATGAGAGATAGACGGTTAAAGTTTTAACTGCTTATGTAACTCTAAGAACTATACCTACGATAACAACTTGAACAAAAACATATGAGTTGTTCGAAGATTATTAGCATCTAAATTTTGACGAAGTCGTTCTACAAAGTGAGTCAAACTCGAATTTTCAGGAAACAATTGATTCTTTTACCGAAAAGAAAAGTCACTTAGAAAAGTTTTTTTTATCATTTTGTTTGCATTTCAATGGTCTTTCTTTTGCGTACCTTTGCTTTCCTTCCACTTTTACACACACCAAACAAATTTAAAAATAAGGTCGTCCCACACGAAAATGAAAAATTGTCTATAATTAAGTATTTGGAGCAAATGAGTGTAAAAAGACGAAGAGAGAAATAAAAAAAGATATATGATTTAATAGAGCATTTCAGGTTGTACAAAATGGACTATTCATTATATCGTTTCTCTTTTTTTTTATACCTAGAAATTATTCTTGTCTTAGCACATCTATCATGATCGATGGCCATGATACTTGTTCCAGATGAGCTTCTAAACTTCCTTCGTTGCATTCTTTGCTTCTTTTTTTCTTTTTCTTGTTCTTTTCTCCCTCCCCTGTTTCGCCTCTCTTCACACGAATCACTCTCTGAGTAGGAGAGCATGATTGGCATGTGAAACGTAAGAGAAGGATACGTTGGAAGAGGAAGACATACGTAGTTTGTTTTTTTTCTTTGTGGACGTGATTCTTGTGGGTTTTTTTTGCCCAAATATATACAGGTGATGATTTGTCTTGAGGAAGAAGAGTGTATGTCATTAACAACATCCCAAAATAAAATACAATTTTTTCACAGTACAAGACTTATAAGTCCTCGATGATGTAAGCTAGAGAGTTCGAATTCGGTTTCGGTATGAGACACTCCAACAGTAGTAACATATAAAAAAGTGTCTAAATTGGTCAACGAGAAAATAAGTTATTATGTAAACAGCTAAAATCTCAATTGTACCAAAGGATTACAATTGGTTCAGATATACAAATATCAGACACAAAGCGGAAAAAGAAAAATTGATTGAGAAAGAATTCATAGTTAAACGGACTGACATTGCTTCTGTCTGGTCTGTCTGTCTTCTTTTCATTTTGTACGAATAATTATACAACAGACAATGAGTTGTAACTATTGTTCGACAAAGCTAAGCGTTTAACACTGATCAGGAATGGCAGCAATATGTAGAAATATTATGACGTACTTTATTATTATGAAATGCAATGTCTAAAGCATTTAGTCAATCATCTCCAGTATATTCAAATGCTAGTATGACTAATCGTCCAACATCGCATCCAACAAATGCATCATCAATGCCAACACCAATGGGAACGGGAATGAATAATCAAGGAAATCCATCATATTCATGTCCATATGGATATCTACAAACACAAATTCCTCAAGATATTTATCGAGATTCTATTCAAACAGCTGTTTTAGATAGAGTTCGAAATCGTTTAGATGAAATAACACAAATATAAAAAGTACAAAATGATTCGTTTAAAAAAACTGAACAAGATTTAATTGATGGTGAAAAAACAATTCGAAGACTTATTAATGATGCACAACAACAACAAATTCAAGCATGATTTTAGATTTATTTTTCTTTTTTAGAACTAGATAATAAATTTACAAGCAAAAACCAATGAAATATTAGGAGCTCCACAAAAAATGTCCTTATCATCAGGAAAAGTAAATTCCGTTAAAGAAGATGCTTTTATAATTCCTGTACCTGTTTATAAACAGTGAAGCATTTTTCTTTCTTCATTTTATTTATTCTCCAACAATATTTTCATATCTTTCTTCTTTTTCTTGCTTTAGCATGTTAGAGACCGTTCTCGAAAAGAATTTATTCTAAGAGCTACAATATGAGAATGTCAACAAGTTTCTGGTTTACCTTTGAAGTAAATGGTTTTTTTCTTGTGAAATCAAAAAAATTGATTTTATTTTTGATTATGTACGTATGTCAATGTTGAGAGAGAGAAAATGGATTGTTCACCACAAGAAATAATTATTTACATATAGTTTGACGTAAACAAAGACAAAAATATCCTTTATTATTGTTTAACCAATGCGAAAAACAGGTTGATTGATGCTTCTGTCTCTAATGCAAAGCAAGAAGGATGAAAAAAACGTAGGTTTTTTTTCGAACACTGTGGGTGTGTGAAGTGATGCGTGCAATATATATATATTAACTGATTTGTATCGACATCAGCGTAAGTAATGGCAGCCACCAATAGAAATATGCAAATTGAAACCTTGGCTTGGATAACTGATGATGGAGCTGAATTTTGGACGGTGAATATTGAATAAAACATTTCTTTTTTTGTTTATCATTGATGATCTTATTTAGAGTACATCACCTATAGAAAAAAATAATGTGTCTCATCATTTTTCAACATCAAAAGATTTGTCTTCAAATATTTTTACATTTGATGGTCTTTACTTTAAAACAAATAATCCATCACATACAGAAATGCAAGATCATCTATCATTGTTATCTAAACAAGCAATTCAAAAACAAGTCAGAGAAGAGCAAGATAAAGTCGAGAAAAAACAGTTATTTAACATATTTCAACTAAATAAAAATATTCATCCCAATGAAAAAAATTCTGAAAAAACAATAGGCTTTCTTGGTCGATTATTTCATCAATTAACAAGATCATCATCTTCAGAATTCGATTATTTAGATGATGACGTCTTTATCGATTCCGATGAAAGCAACATAACAACTGTTGTCAATAATAATACAGATATTGATGCATCATCCAATGTTGAAAATAAAATTCCAGATAATATTCCATTTATGAATACTATTCGATCATTTATTGATGAATTAAATGAAGAAAAAGATGTTATTATGGGAATAATTGATGAAGAAACATTAGTTAATCGAAGAAGTCAAAAAGCAAAATCTTCAATTTTATCAATAAAAAACCAATAAAAGACTTATTTGTGAAACATTTGGTTTTTGATGTTCATTTTAGAAAAAAACTTTGTTGTACATTATTAAATTTTCAAAAGATGCTGAACTTTTTTATTTTTTGAGTGGGTGTGGATGTGGGCGAGTATATGGCAACTTTACACCAACACCCCATCTACATCCTCAAAATAGAACATTACTTGTTTGTACGTATCACTTCGATATCTATTCAGTCTAACCTCACTATTTCGAAAGTGTTTACAAATTATTAAAAAAAAATCAAGTGCAAATGAAGCGTTTTATGGAACTCATTTGTGTAGATCACATATAAAAACACTAATTGTAAATTACAAGTGAGGTGTTGCGGTCGTTCTCTTCGTCTTCTCGTCACGAATCGAAAGAGAAAGCAGGTATGAAATTTCTTTCTGATCGTTCAATGTAAATAGTCTTCGAGTTATGTTTGTACCAGTCTCAGTTTCTAACTGATCGACTAATACTCATAAATTGATTCTGATGTATACTTATTCAGAATAATGATGGAAACTCTTGTTAAAAATTATTCGAAATCTACTTTAGAAAAGTGATATCATAGAGAAAAAAAAATGATTAAAACAATAATTTCGAAGGCCATTATGACATGTAAGAATACTTGTAATTCCTGTTAGATTCTTACAGATAGAAAATATTCCATCATTTAATTTTTTATACAAAAAAAAAACTACTCATGTTCGATTTATCTTCTGATTTTCTCGAGAAAAGTTTTCAGAATCTAGTTCAATTTAAATTATTACACTTCAGTTTTGATTTATTGAAGTCTATTTGCATACATCAAATATAGATGTTATTCATGTTGATTCTGTCTCTAATGCAAAACGAAAGAAACGAAAAAAAAAAGACGTTATATTTATTTTTAAACAGTGAGAGTGTGTGAAGTGACGCGTACAAAATATATAATAGGCGATTTTTTCTTATCGACATCAGCAAAAAAACAATGTCACTCACCACGAGAAATACGAAAATTGAAACCTTGGCTTGGATAACTGATGATGAAGCTGAATTTTGGACGGTGAATATTCAATAAAACATTTCTTTTTTGTTTATCATTGATAAGATTATTTAGAGTACAACACCTATAGAAACAAAGAAAACATTTCATTATTTTTCAACATCAAAAAAAAATTCTTCTTCAGATGATCTTCATTATAAAACAAATAAACAATTAAATTCTCAAATTGAAGATCCTTTGTCATTATCATATAAACAACTAATTGAAAAACAAGCAAAAGAAGTATCAGAAAATGCTGAAAAAACAAAAATTTTCGAAAAATTTCAATTAGAAGAAAATGGTCCTGAAATAAATATGGGCTTTCTTGATCGATTATTTCATTCATCAAGTAAACCACCAATTTCAGAAAAAGATTATTTAGACGATGAAGTTTTTACAGAAATTGATGAAAGTGAAATAATGGCTGTAATCAATAATAATGCAGATATTGATGTATCATCCAATGTTGAAAATAAATCTACGGATAATATTCCATTTATAAATGATCTTAAATCATTTATTGATGAATTAGGTGAAGAAAAAGATGTTATTATGGGAACAATTGATGAAGAAACATTATTTAATCGAAGAAGTCGAAAAACGAAATCTTTACCTGCACCACCAATCAAAAACGATGATATATCATTTAGTCGAACATCTTATTAACATTTCTTTAATAAAAAAAAAAAAAAACAAAAGATTATTTCACATTATTAAATTTTCAAAAGATACTCAATCTTGTTATTTTCATACTTATATGATTTTCGATTTATTTTTTTATTTTTGTTGATAATTTGTTTCTTTTGCACAGAAATTGATGTATCTCTCTAACCAATTTAATTTGTTGAGTAGAGTTTCACTCGTTTAACATTATTGAAAATTCATTTGTAAGATCGAAAAACTATTTTCGAATCGACTGACAAAAAAATTCTATGATTTTGAATTGAATCATGAAATATGGTCTTATGATTTGTAAAGAATAAATTGATTTCAGCAAACAAATGTCAAGTTGTAATACTTCAAGCAATTCTCTTCAATTAACTCATATATTCATATGAAAATAATTGAGGAAAAAATTTTACTCTAATGATAAATTGGACGATAAGCTAACCGTTATTATCAGCTATGGTATCTATTGAGTTACTTCATATCGTCAGAATGTATCTCAATTTACTAGAGTCCGACGCAGGTCAAGTAGGATTACGAAAAAAAGTCTAAATCTCAGATCATATTTACAGTCTACACATTTTAATGACACAGAAGCTATTTTGGATGTTTTAACTTCACCGACTTTTCTTTATTGGGTTCAGACAATGATTTATAGCAAGTACACTATCGATAAGATAAGATAAGATAAGATATTAAGAGCGACGCATACTAAAAAATGAAAACAACTGATATATTTATCAATAAGAGTGACACAGTTATTTCATATGCAATCTAACAGGTGAATACTAATTATAGTAATGAATGGAGAAAAAGTTCGATTAGTTCTGAAGAGTTTAAATATGTAGAATTTATATGGACTAATAGATTATCCTTGAAATAGACAGTCGAATAGCTCGAGATCCAGAAGGAATCTGAGATGATTAAAAATCCGGAAGATATATATCTTCTAAGACACTTTGTCATTCCTGTTATTTTGTCTTGTGCAGAAATTCATCAACAGATAACACATCAAAAATTCCTTGTAGATATTCGGCTGATACATTGCTGTTCTTTTGTCTCTGCGCACTATCCTTATATAATTACTTGTGAACATCTCTTAGAATTTTATATTAAAAGCTATTTTAAAAGAAGATTCAGAACTATGCACACATGACAGAACTTGAATCGCATCTTCGTTGAAGATGATTTATATAGAAGAAATAACGAATCATGTTAGTGATTTTTTTAATGGACGTCGTATACGATAATTAATTAGGTCGACAAGAATCATTGCTTTTAAAATGATTTTTTTTAATGAAAACGAATCAATACAAAAAAAAAAGAAGACAAATATAATATACTGTTTTCCTCTATTCCTTTCTTCTGTCTTCTATTTTTTCACTCTCTTCTTATTTTTCTTGTTATATTTTTAGTTGCTGTGTTTAGCTCTTCGAACTTAATCATTCTAAAGGTAGAGTTGCCTAATTACACGTGTATCTGTTAGAGTGATATTAAAAAATAAAAACAAAACAAAAAGAAAGAAAGACAAAGAAGGAAAAAAACACGATTTATCAACTAGAAAGCCAAACAAGAGTAAACAAAACACAAAGGATGGCTTATTATAATAAAATATAATTGACAAAGAGACGATTTCAAGAGAAATTTTGTCGTTATCCAGTAGCCTAAATATTTATTCAAATTTATCGATTCGATTGAGTGATTCCAAATTTGAGATTGGACATCGAGCTCGAGTAGCTCATTGCTCGCGTAGACTATGTCACTTCAGTTTTTAAATAATTTATTGGTTAAACAGTTAGAATTGAGTAATATTTAAAGTACTCGAAGAACGAATTTTGACCAACAATGACAGCTGCTCAATCATTGAAAAAGAAAAAAAAGCAGGTCTATCGGAAGAACGTTCTCCATATCAGCATGATACATTATAAAAAGGATTGGAGTACAGCTAAATCCTTGTGGTCTACCTCGACAAATTAGAAACCAATGGAATTGTTTGTTCTGAATGTCTATTATACTCCGTCTGCCATTCAGCCAGGTACGAACCCATTCAAATTAATTTTCCTTAATATCTCTCGAATTATAATTGATCAAATATACTCTTAAAATCAACAAAAACAGTATCAATTGGTGAGCTATTTGACGTAATTGAGGCGTTCGTAAACTTTGACAAATAAATCTAGTAGCGAAATTGATCACGTTTGATCTGGAGTACAAAAAGTGTTCTTTTTTTGCAAATAAAATCATTCTGATATGTTTCTATCTTAAAATCGAGTGAAACGTTTTTTTATATATGGATGAGATCTCACTGTCATTGCAAGATTAACCATGCTTTGAGAATCCTTAATGAATTCTTCGTGTGATCTTATTACTTCTTTTTCTTTAAATCTCTTCATAAGTATTCTATTTATCTTGTTTTCTTCATTATTATTTCGACAAGTATTCAGATTATCAATGAATTGTTTTCAAATATTTCAAAAGTCCGCCATCAAATAAAGCCGTGAATAATGTTCGACTGGTTCAAACGATTTGCATGAGCGTTTTATTATTTTATAGAATGTTCTCCAAAGTTTTATTCCGCGTAATTTAATCTGTAATCATTGCTCAAAATGATTACCATCAGTTGAAATAGATGACTGCACTTTTTTTAAAACATCAGAAAAAAACCCCATTAAACGAAGTTTCTTTTGAAATCATTTTATGATCTATTTCATTCTTAAATGTATATTAATACTTATATCAATTCAACTTTATATGGGTATGGATATTCCCTTTTCTCTCTTCTATACCCATATCCACACTCTGCAATCCATCTTCACCGTTATCCCAGAATTATTTTTGAAAACCTAGAGAGTTATAGAAAAGTAGCTCTTTTGAGAATGATCTGTTTTCTTATTCTTTGGTTTGTAAATTTTACATTGTCACTAAATAGAAATTCATTTACAAGATTCTAATTGAAATACATGAGAAAATTCAATTTGTAGGTAAAATGAAATTAATGTTAGTAGGCGAACATGAAAACATGATACTGCAGTGACGTTTTATGTTCGATGACAAGAAAGTATTCGTTAGGAATTAGACAAATTATTAGGTTCTATAATATGTAGGGTACCATAAAAATCCACTTTGAAAAAGCAATGTGAATATCTCTCAAAAAATTCAAACGATTTAAATTTTTTTTTTGTAAAGTTGTTTATTCAACAACTTAATCATATTAACTTTTATTCAGATTTTATTTTTGTAGTTTCTCATTTACTATTTGTTTCTTCTCTACAAAATCCAAACATAAATGTTAAAAATCTTTTCATTATCA